TTCGGCTTAGCTCCTTTCACAATTACATCCATAAATATATAAATAATTTTATTTTCAATACAATGTCCTTTGATTAACGGCCGATTAAATCCCATGCTCAATTTAATGATTATAAAATCATGTTAATGCCGTGGACGTTGGGAGAGATTCATGATTCATGATTCGAGATAGACCGTCACTCCTTGTTCCACTGTTCCCTCGTGACACAATGACTTGTGTCTTGAAGGAAAAATTTCGAATTAATTAATCGCAATGCGTAATGAATTTTAGAACAAAAAATAAAAACAATAAATAAACAATAAATAAAGATTAAAAAGGAATCGTAGACTTTTTTGTAATTGCGTCAAGGGCATGGAGTAATGAAAGTTTTACATTTGTTAAATTGGCGAAAGCTTAAGAATTTAATAACATAGCGGATAACTATTATAAGCACGCTTGATTAACACTAATATCGAGAGTAAATCAATAATACTTTTCTCCAGACTGCACGACGAATCGCCTCTCTTATTTGCCAAACTCCGGCGACTGCTTGATACCGAAAAAGTCATTTGCGCCAATTCGAACGTACGATCCCTTGGACTTACCAATGGATTTGGATACGACGATGCAACTGAGCTATCAACCAGTGGAGCAACCGGAAAAAGTAGATAAACCATGGGCTGCCAAAGTGCCTTATTACAAGCCAGCTACGAACGTGGATGATAACACTACCTATACCATGAGGTAAATGGGACAAATTTTGGCAAGAAATTTATTATTAAGTATTTATTATTCACTTACTTGTGAGAGTTAAAATCAAAAATTCATTATTACTAAGATGTATTGTTTAATATTTTTATATTTGTTAAGTTGAATATGTATAGATGAATATTTATTATAATTAATTGCTCGTAGTTACATACCACCCGGCACTTTGCATCCGTGTGGCCCAGAATCTTCAAATTTAGATTCTTACGCTGGTAAGTAATTATTGTAATTATCAAATATCACTGTCGAATTTATAAGATGTATTAATACGTAAATAATTTATAGTTTCGATATGTCCATCAAAAACACTTCCCTACATACGTAAGTAATCAACTTTAATTAGCATCAAATCACCTTATTGTGCACAGTAAATTTAATAAATTAATTTATTCTGTTATTCCTAGCATACTAATAAAATAATCCAGAGCGACTAAGAGGATTCTATGGAATTTGGCGCCGCTATTATTATTTTTCCATGAAAAAACAATTGTCTATTCTTAAAATGTCTCGTCGAAAATTTTCTGCCTGTCAAAAATGTGTCGTGATTTTATTATAGTCTAAATGTGTCAGTGAATAAAAACGTGTGTAAAATTGTGTAAAATATCAATAAAAGTAACAAAGTCCTTGTCTTAATTACGCATACGCTTTTGACTAAGTGCGATTGCGTAGGATTTTTTTTTCTTTTTTTTATTTTCTCTTTATTTTTATTTTTTTTTTTTTTTATGTTTTTTTTTTTTTTTTTTTTTTTTTTTTTTATACAGATTAACACGTAAATAGCCATGTAACATCATGTCGTATCCTTCCTAATCGTCTCAACCTCGATTCTCCAAAGATCCTCACAATCCAATCGGCGAATCATCGCTCAGATAAACAATCATTCACTCGATTAGAATATCAGACGTCGGTCTATCTCGGGAAAAGATCCTTCC